AACAGAATTTGTGAACAACAGTGGCGCTGTTTGTGAGTATCAAATCTGCAATTCGTCAGCATTATTATCCCTGTCTTCAACAACACTCGGTTGTTCATATTTGATCAGAGCACACTATCGGGGGTCGGGGATGAAGCTGGAATAAGAGTTCCAAGCGTTTGTCTCAAGCTCTGGGTTCTGTTTTGGTATCCGTTCTTGGGTTCTGCTGTCTACACCTCTTTAAGATGCACACGGGCGTCGCTTAAGTATCGTGCTGTGTGCAGCGCCCTCGAAATATCCAATCTCAGGTGGCAATCCCGATCTTGTGGAATAAGACAGATCTGACCTCACCATAAAATAAAAACTGTTTATGTCTGGATTGATTACTGTGAGCTGAGATTATTTTACACACACACAAAACACACACACACACACACACACACACACACATATATATATATATATATATATATATATATATATATATATATATATATATATATATATATAGGCTTTCTTCCGAATAACGGTCCCAAATTATCCAGGCCGAAAATATACCCTAACAGGGCCTCAGTCACATGTCAATGTCGGACTTCCGCCACCGCCGAGAGAATCTCTCACGCCGCTACTCACCAGCAAATAAAATGAAGGAAGCTGCAGGAGATGCGGTAGCTGCTGCTCCTGAGTCCCAGCCATCTAGTTTAGCCCCACTCTACGGGTGACAAGAATAAGAACAATAAAAAGAAGAACAAAAAGGGAGAAGAAAGGAGGAAAAAAGGTGACGACGACTACAAAAAGATGACGACGACAAAGAAGACGACGACGACAAAGAAGACGACTACGACGACGATGACGAAGTCGACGGTGACGAAGAAGACGACGACGAGGAAGAGAACGACGAAGAAGACAGTGATAAAGAAGACGACGACAAAGAAGACTACAACGACAAAGAATCCAACGAAGACGACGACGACAAAGAAGATGACGGCGAAGTCGACGGTGACTAAGAATACGACGACGAAGAGGACAACGACAAAGAAGACAACGACGAAAAAGAGAACAACTTAGAAGACGACGACGAAGTCGACGGTGAAGAAGACGATGACAAAGTCGACAACGAAGACGACGACAACGAAGAAGAAGAGTACGACGACGGGGAAGAAGTCGACGAAGACGACGAGGAAGGAGACGACGAAGACGACGAGGAAGAGACGACCAAGACAAAACCCACGACGATGAAGACGAAGAATATGACGAGGAAGACTAGAATCAACTGTCTAACCATTAACCCCTCTTACTGGGTACCGTTTTTTTCCCTTTTTTTTTTGTTTTAAATATGTGTTGCATGTGACAATTCCATTCTCCTTATTGGAGATGATGGCCACACTTGATCCCTGACCCTCGCTGACCACTTCTCGCAGCACTCCTTCAGTGGTATAGAGATCAGTACATGTCCACAACACCTGGGGTGACAGACTTACCTGACCCTAACAACCGCAGCACCATCACCACCTGGTGGCAAGCGCTGGCTATGATTGACTGGTAAGTGTTGTTCCTTCTTGTTGTCAGCATCATCGTCGTTGTTGTTGTTGTTGTTGTTGTTGTTGTTGTTGTTGTTGTTGTTGTTGTTGTTGTGGTCGCCAATATATCACACATAAAAGCCTTTTCTTTGTATTGTGAAGGTCACTGTTGATATCATCAGTGAGAGGATTACTGATCTTAGTCAGCAACACTGTCACTATCATGATGCTCTTTAGAAATATTCTTATTGTCATTGTTTCTTATCATCATCGATAGTAGCGTCATCATCATCATCATCGTCGTCGTCATAATCATTATCATCATCATCATGAACACTAACAATAAAACCTACATTAAAGACACAGTAATCTCACCAAGAGATAAAGGACACACCACACACCCATGCTGGCTGATTGATTGTCAAATAGTGTGACACCTCAGTCATATGAATCCGTGTGAGTTGATTGATTGTCATATATATAGTGTGACACCTCAGTCATATAAATCCGTGTGAGTTGATTGATTGTCATATATATAGTGTGACACCTCAGTCATATGAATCCGTGTGAGTTGATTGATTGACATATATATAGTGTGACACCTCAGTCATATGAATCCGTGTGAGTTGATTGATTGTCATATATATAGTGTGACACCTCAGTCATATGAATCCGTGTGAGTTGATTGATTGTCATATATATAGTGTGACACCTCAGTCATATGAATCCGTGTGAGTTGATTGATTGTCATATAAATAGTGTGACACCATAGTCATATGAATCCGTGTTAGTTGATTGATTGTCATATATATAGTGTGAAACCTCAGTCATATGAATCCGTGTGAGTTGATTGTCATTTAGTGTGAGTAAATATCAAAGGAAACTGGGAACTAGCGATAACTGTGAGGGCTTGTCGTGTTAACTGAGGGAACAAGTCGGCAATACCTTACCTCTAGGATAACAATGAAGTTATCTCCCCACTCAGTGACGCAGTCCAACGACTTATGCTATTACCGCTCCAGGGACGTCTACTGTTCAATAAAGTTATACCTTTTTTTAAAACAATCATATTCAAAAATTATCCTTGTTGCCTTTGGCCATCATATAAATACAATGGGAGGCATAGCAAATGCCTTAACATATTGCATTTCTCTAAACCAGGAATAGAACTAAAATTTCATGAAAGTAACATCTGCATCCTGTGGGGCATGGATGGAAAGTCATGAAAGTATCATCTGTATCCTGTAGGGCATGGCTGGAAAGTCATGAAAGTATCATCTGTATCCTGTAGGGCATGGTTGGAAAGTCATGAAAGTATCATCTGTATCCTGTGTGACATGGTTGGAAAGTCATGAAAGTATCATCTGTATCCTGTGTGGCATGGTTGGAAAGTCAAGAAGGTATAACCTGGATCTTGTTAGGCATCGTTGGAAAGTCTTTATGGTATAATAAACTGGATCCCGTTAGCCATCGTTGGAAAGTCTAGAAGGTATAATAAACTGGATCCCGTTAGCCATCGTTGGAAAGTCTAGAAGGTATAATAAACTGGATTCTGTTAGGAATCGTTGGTAAGTCAGAAAGTTTAATCTGGATCCTGTTAGGCATCGTTAGAAATTTAGAAAGTATTATATGGATCCTGTTAGGCATTGTTGGAAAGTCAGAAAGTATTATATGGATCTTGTTAGGCATCGTTGGAAAGTCAGAAAGCTATTATATGGATCCTGTTAGGCATCGTTGGAAAGTCAGAAAGTATTATATGGACCCTGTTAGGCATCATTGGAAAGTCAGAAAGTATTATATGGATCCTGTTAGGCATCGTTGGAAAGTCAGAAAGTATTATATGGATCCTGTTAGGCATCGTTAGAAAGGTATAATAAACAGAAAGTATAAGTCATATGGATCCTGTTAGGCATCGTTGGTAAGTCAGAAAGTATTATATGGATCCTGTTAGGCATCGTTTGGAAAGTCAGAAAGTATTATATGGATCCTGTTAGGCATCGTTTTTTTGGAAAGTCAGAAAGTATTATATGGATCCTGTTAGGCATCGTTGGAAAGTCAGAAAGTATTATATGGATCCTGTTAGGCATCGTTGGAAAGTCAGAAAGTATTATATGGATCCTGTTAGGCATCGTTGGAAAGTCAGAAAGTATTATATGGATCCTGTTAGGCATCGTTGGTAAGTCAGAAAGTATTATATGGATCCTGTTAGGCATCGTTTGAAAGTCAGATCGTTGGAAGTCAGTAAATTAATGGATCCTGTTAGTCGTTGGTAAGTCAGAAAGTATTATATGGATCCTGTTAGGCATCGTTGGAAAGTCAGAAAGTCAGATTATATGGATCCTGTTAGGCATCGTTGGAAAGTCAGAAAGTATTATATGGATCCTGTTAGGCATCGTTGGAAAGTCAGAAAGTATTATATGGATCCTGTTAGGCATCGTTGGAAAGTCAGAAAGTATTATATGGATCCTGTTAGGCATCGTTGGAAAGTCAGAAAGTATTATATGGATCCTGTTCGGCGTCGTTGGAAAGTCAGAAAGTATTATATGGATCCTGTTAGGCATCGTTGGAAAGTCAGAAAGTATTATATGGATCCTGTTAGGCATCGTTGGAAAGTCAGAAAGTATTATATGGATCCTGTTAGGCATCGTTGGAAAGTCAGAAAGTATTATATGGATCCTGTTAGGCATCGTTGGAAAGTCATAAAGTATTAAATGGATCCTGTTAGGCATCGTTGGAAAGTCATAAAGTATTATACGGATCCTGTTAGGCATTGTTGGAAAGTCAGAAAGTATATAATGATCCTGTTCCATCGTTGGAAAAGTCAGAAAGATTAAGGATCCTGTTGGGAAAAGTCAAAAGGTATTATCTGCTGTTTAGGCTTTCTTGCAACACCTGCAAAACCTTAAGAATTTGCGGTCAGAGTGGAGGATATGCACGTCAACTGTTTTAGTCGTGGCAAATGTTTGGTTTTGTCAGGTGGTGGCCGTTGCATTTTCCTCTACGTGTAGACTGAAAGGATATAGTTTTGTCGTCCAGCTACTGGGCTGAGTGCACGGCGCGACCCAGTGAGCTAGGGATTTCATTTGGAGAGGTTGTCGACTGTGTGACGTGAACTGTAGATTTATAAAATGGCGAGTGGTCTGTTGCCAGGTATTTGATGATGAATTAGGTGATGAAAATTAATCGCGTATGCAATTACTAATCTGTAACTGCTACATGGGTCTATAACGAACTGCATTTCCAAGACGGAATGTTTGCGTTAGCACTTCTGGAAACTGCCTTATGTTACTAAAGCGTGGGTATACTAGTGGATTTGCTGAGACTGCAGTCTGTGTTAATGTACCCACACAGCACAGGGATGGATTTTATGAGTGTTTTTCGTTGGTACACAAGTAGAGCAACTATGGGATGACCCGTTTGCTAAGAAGCTGAAACTAAGATGACCAGATTGTATGCGACACACATACATGCTCTAACCTCTATTGTTGCCAACACAACCAGGTACCTGGCAGCTCCAGTACGTTACACGTGTAAGACACCGAAGAAAGTCGGCAACTGGGTGATATGCCAGGATGAGCCTTACACCATCCAACCTCCCTGCTTGGTCTATTCCTTTGGGTCAGTATCTGAAGCAAGCTAGCTACGGCACTTAATTAATTCAGGTTCACTCGTTCATTACCAAGGAACTCGCTATACTTTTCTGTTTTTGTTCGTTTGTTGGTACACATTTCTTTACTTTTTCTATTCCATTCTAACTTTTTTCTATACCATTCTTATCGTATATCAAACTTGTATTACCTGTTGTTATACCGGTAACCCCAAAAGCCTTATTAGTAAGCTCTATGAGGCTAGAGAATTGTTACTCTAGGATACAAACATTCGGAATAAACACAAGTCTCTTCAACAATGCCTGCCACCAATAGGGTTTGTGTCAGATTAAAAAAAAATATTTTTTTAACTAGGCTGCTGTTCCATGGTCAAAGGTCGTCCTTCTTGTGCTTACAACTTGATGAGTGGCGCATAAGGCTTACAGTGAGACATATTTTTAAGTGCCTGTCGGCATTCTGAGGAATGACGTAGTTATCATCACGCCTTGTCTCTTTCTTTCTTTCTTTCTTTCTTTCTTTCTTTCTTTCTTTCTTTCTTTCTTTCTTTCTTTCTTTCTTTCTTTCTTTCTTTCTTTCTTTCTTTTTTAAGTGTTATTTCTCTCCTCAGCACGTTCTTAAAATGTCTCTATCCCCAGAATCAACAGGGAGTACCAGTTCGACGATGCCATGGCAAAGATGGGATGTGAGGTGCATATGTTTGATCCCAGGTTTGTTGGTTTTGTCTTATTTTGTTTAGATCATGCTCGTTTCGGGATCATACATTTTTTTTTCTTTTAAAATTGTTGTTGCTTCTTCTTCTTCTTCTTCTTTTTCTTCTTCTTCTTCTCTATCTTCTTCTTCTTCTTCTTCTTCTTCTTCTTCTTCTTCTTCTTCTTCTTCTTCTTCTTCTTCTTCTTCTTCTTCTTCTTCTTCTTCTTCTTCTTCTTCTTCTTCTTCTTCTTCTTCTTCTTCTTCTTCTTCTTCTTCTTCTTCTTCTTCTTCTTCTTTCTTCTTCTTCTTCTTCTTCTTCTTCTTCTTCTTCTTCTTTTTCTTTTTCTTCTTCTTATTTCTTCCTGTTCTTCTTCTTCTTCTTCCTGTTCTTCTTCTTCTTTTTCTTGTTCTCACTGCTTTTATGATCCATTTGTATAGGTCTATCTGCTCTCTCTTGCCAAAGTGATATCGCATATTATCGCATGACACTAGAGCTGTGAGAGTTTGCGGATGAATGACAAAATTATTGTGGACAGAAAAGAATTATAATTTCACATGTGTACAGCTAGCACTGTCTTCAGATTGCTGGTTCTTTTAACGGAAAACGATTGGAATATTTGCTATCGATAAATTCCTAGAATAGCTTGACTAAATATTTTGGCATGGCATACGAGCAAATGAGAATAGACAGCGTTTCTGCTGATTTCGGAAAAGTGTGGAAACAAATAGTGCCATGGCCAGCATTAAACTATGAGATGACTGGAGGCGTATGAAGACATGTTCATCCTCGTCTACCTTAGTCCACGTACTAGAAGACTAATGAAATAAATTCTGTTCCACTAGTATGAAAGAGAAGGACCATATGAGAGGCACAGCCGCTTTCCACAACATGGGGATCAGCAGCTACAACACTGACGCCTTCCTACCCAGGCGTGATGACTATGTCAAGGACAATCAGACCTGGAAAATGAGAACTGTGAAGACCATCATGAAAGAATTAGGCCATGAGAATGTGAGTATCGGATATGGAATCCTTTCAGTGTCAGAATCACCAAGGAATTAACTATTCACTATTGTACTTTAGTGTCAGAATCACCAAGGAATTAACTATTCACTATTGTACTTTAGTGTCAGAATCGCCAAGGAATTAACTATTCACTATTGTACTTTGGTGTCAGAATCACCAAGGAATTAACTATTCACTTTTGTACTTTAGTGTCAGAATCACCAAGGAATTAACTATTCACTATTGTACTTTAGTGTCAGAATCGCCAAGGAATTAACTATTCACTATTGTACTTTAGTTTCAGAATCGCCAAGGGATTAACTATTCACTATTGTACTTTAGTTTCAGAATCACCAAGGAAATAACTATTCACTATTGTACTTTAGTGTCAGAATCACTGAGGAATTATCTATTCACTGTTGTACTTTAGTGTCAGAATCACCAAGGAATTAACTATTCACTATTGTACTTTAGTGTCAGAATCACCAAGAAATTACCTATTCACTATTGTACTTAAGTGTCAGAATCACCAAGGAATTAACTATTCACTATTGTACTTTAGTGTCAGAATCATCAAGGAATTACCTATTCACTAGTGTACTTTAGTGTCAGAATCACCAAGGAATTAACTATTCACTATTGTACTTTAGTGTCAAAATCTCCTAAGAAATGACTATTCACTACTGTACTTCATTGTCAGAATAACCTACTAATTGACTATTCACTACTGTACTTCATTGTCAGAGTTACCTAACTGTTGACTATTCACTACTGTACTTCATTCTCAGAATTACTAATAATTGACTATTCACTACTGTGCTTCATTGTCAGAACTACCCAATAATTGACTATTTACTACTGTCCTTCATTGTCAGAACTACCCAATAATTGACTATTCACTACTGTACTTCATTGTCAGAACTACCCAATAATTGACTATTCACTACTGTACTTCATTGTCAGAACTACCCAATAATTGACTATTCACTACTGTACTTTATTGTCAGAACTACCCAATAATTGACTATTCACTACTGTACTTTATTGCTAGAAAATACCTAAGAATTGTTTATTACTATTGTACTTTAATGTCAAAATTACCTAGGAATTAAGTAGCCACCATTGTCCTTCATTATCAGCACTAGAAGTACTAGCACTAGTGTACATCGATGGTTCTGTCCCACGGAGTGAATGATCTGACTGGTTTTTTCAAGTACAGTGAAGGGAACGATGGCGGCAGAATAAAAGAGTGTTTTTTATTTTTTATTTGCAAATTTAAGCACGATGATGCAGTCAGAGGCAGCCACTTCAGTTCTGAAGAAGCAGAGTTATCATAGGAGTTACGGTTACTGATTCTCAGTGGGTACTGCTGATGGTTCAATACTGACAACAGTGTCACGCGTGGATACGAAGCATCAACAGGCCAAAATTTTAGGGAATCACATGGATATACTATCCGGGATACCTGATGTTCGAGAGAGCCTATAACTGGGACATTTTGCTACACATCGCGAAACTAATTTGGTCAAAATACTCGCTTTAAACTCACAAGAATTATGAGTAGAAACTGATTCAGCAAGGCGAACAAGAACCCTAGTGGAGACGCCAGGGTTGGGCCTCGTATCCAAAAGGAAGCTGAGCGCCTCCAGACCATCAGCATTTGGAACAGATATTTGAAAGAAAGCATACATCTAACAGAAACAGGTAGTATGTTTTGCCAAGGAGTACCCTGCAGGTCCAAAAATGTTAAGGGCATGGTTCGTATCTGTAACGAATGAGGACAGGTCGCTGACAATGGGTTGAAGAACAAAATCGAGTAACTCTGAAATATCTACCGTCGGACATGAGCAAGCGCAGACGATAGGTCGACCAGGATTGTTGGGTTTGTTGATCTTAGTAAGAAGGTACAGACAAGGTTTGCTGAGACAGCAGTCTTGCATGAGTAGATCGCCAGCAGAACAATCCAAGGCGTCATCATAGGTGAAGGAGTTTATCATCTGCATCTTACGGGATAGCTAAGTATCTAGACCTTAAGACAATTACTGCGGGAAACGGAATACCTATCTGGATGCCAGGTGAGTTACGCAGTCGATTCCTAAATCAGTAATCACCTTAGAGTCCGAAGTAACTAGCAAATAATTTTTCACTAATGTACTTTTGTATGAACATCATCTTCAAGAGAAATGTTCAGAGTTGAGTTGAGTTAAGTCAAAAATTGACATCGCAGCACTCGGGGCAATCCCATGCGCGTTCCATCCTCATCTTCAGCAGCCAGCTGAATTAAAATTCTGATGGTACCAGGTCACAATCTGGTGATATGTCCGTCTTGCCTTTCCTCTGAGTGTAGTCAGCCGGCTAGACCCTCAGGTTACACCCAGGTGCCTCATTCTCTCCAGGCCATAATAATCTTGTTTCGCTTCAGACACCGTTGCTTGTTCCCAAAGGGCCTGACCACACCTACCTTGACATGTATCAATTCATCACCCAGTGGTTTAGATCAGACTAACCGGTCTCCCTGCTCATTCCCCACGACGCCACCAGCATGACCTGAAGAAAAGATCCAGAGTATGCCCACTACCCGTGACCTTCCAATTGAAGCTTGCCACTCTGCTCGAAGCATTACTTTCCGCACCTTTCTCAGCATGCTTTCAGAGTCTGTTACAATTACGACATGTGAATGCATCTTGTTCTCTAGCCACGGGAGAGCTGCAGCTACCGCCTTCACCTCCATTCTCATGCTAGACCTAGTGGTATCGTATGCTAGGCTGTTCTTCATTAAAGATTCTCCTTTGGCTTTCGCTACAAACCCCCAGGCACTTCTCTTCTCTCTAAACACCGAACCATCTGTATAGATAATCAGATCATATAGGCGAGGATTGTCGTGAATCAACTGTTGGACTTCCACCCCCCTAGCACCCTCTGGCCACTCTCTGCACTCCTGTCCCAAAGTGATCATAACCCTACACAGGTCAGACTTTCCCTCTGGTACTCTGACTCACTCTTCTTCTCCCCCAATGTTCTTCAGCATGCATAATTGTCTTATTGTGTCTTCTGCATAAACAATCCCTTTTTACCCTCTGACCCTTACCTGCAGCCAAAGCTTCATACAGAGGGTGTTCTTTGTCTGCAGCTACTCTGAGGTATGACTTAGCCTGCAGCACCTTTAGCCTATCTGCAATAGTCGGCATTGCAAGGATGTATCGCATGCACACAATCGGGCTGTCTCTTGTACAACCCAGGATCAGCCGCATAGCTTCATTCTGTAGGCGCTGCAGTTTCTCTTGCTAAGTGCTGGTAAAATGTGAACAGCATTCTGTGCTCCATGATCCATGTCCATCGCTGCCACAATCTTTAGTGCATTAAGACCTTTCTGAGCCGATTGTCCCAACACCCTCTATGTGATGCCTGAAAGACAAGCTTCTGTCAAAGATAAGTGTCCAAAGCTGTACATAAGTGTTAAAATTATCTGTGACTTATAATAATAACCAGCATTTTACTTTAGTATTAGAACTGTCTTGGTCAAAGAAGATGAGACATACTGACATCTTAAAAGATCTGAACATCAAGGAAGATTGGCTAATAAACAGCATTTTTTCTCGAAAGCTGAAATATTTTGGTCATATCAAGCGCCACGACGGATTGGAAAAAATTATAGCAGAAGGCATGGTACCAGGAAGGAGGGGCAGGGGCCAACCGACACGAAGATGGGCACAGGATATAAGTGACTCCTTGAGTATGAAAGTACATGAGGCGGGAGAACTGGCGAGAGACCGAGTTTCTTTCAGGCAGACTGTGATGAGAGCGACGTTCTGCAAAGGACCTGCTACATGATAATGATGATTAGAACTGTTATTACTTTAGCATTGTAAGTGAGATATAAGATCACTTGCTGGCAGAAATACTTACCATGTAGTATCTTCAAGAGACAGATGTCAGCACGATGCTGATTCGAGAAGTATGATATAGACATATATTTCGGCTCTCCTTCGAACTTCTACCCCCGCATTATGGCGGCCTAAAATATCCGTAAGGCGCTCAGTGCTATTAAAAATATGCCAACTTTCGGCGACGAACGAATCGCGGCAAAACTAGGATTACCTGACAATTTTAAGAGACACAACACTGCAGACGATAGTAGCAGACGATAATAGCTACCGTTGACACTTTAAAGCGTTTCTGCAGACGATACTACTAGCAGGCGATACTGTGTGATTGATGTCTTGTTTATTGAAAGCGAGTGATCGATGTCTTGTGTATCGTCAGCGTGTGATCGATGTCTTGTATATCACCAGCGTGTGATTGATGTCTTGTATATCACCAGCGTGTGATTGATGTCTTGTATATCACCAGCGTGTGATTGATGTCTTGTATATCACCAGCGTGTGATTGATGTCTTGTATATCACCAGCGTGTGATCGATGTCGTGTATATCACCAGCGTGTGATCGATGTCGTGTATATCACCAGCCTGTGATCGATGTCTTGTATATCACCAGCGTGTGATCGATGTCGTGTATATCACCAGCGTGTGATCGATGTCGTATATATCACCAGCGTGTGATCGATGTCTTGTATATCACCAGCGTGTGATTGATGTCTTGTATATCACCAGTATGTGATCGATGGCTTGTATATCACCAGCGTGTGATCGATGTCTTGTGTATCACCAGTATGTGATCGATGTCTTGTATATCACCAGCGTGTGATCGATGTCTTGTACATCACCAGCGTGTGATTGATGTCTTGTATATCACCAGCGTGTGATCGATATCTTGAATATCACCAGCGTGTGATCAATGTCTTGTATATCACCAGCGTGTGACGGATGTCTTGTATATCACCAGCGTGTGATCGATGTCTTGTATATCACCAGCGTGTGATCGATGTATTGAATATCACCAGCGTGTGATCGATGTCTTATATATCACCAGCGTGTGATCGATGTCTTGCATATCACCAGCGTGTGACGGATGTCTTGTATATCACCAGCGTGTGATCGATGTCTTATATATCACCAGCGTGTGATCGATGTCTTGTATATCACCAGCGTGTGATCGATGTCTTGTATATCACCAGCGTGTGATCGATGTCTTGTATATCACCAGCGTGTGATTGATGTCTTGTATATCACCAGCGTGTGATTGATGTCTTGTATATCACCAGCGTGTGATCGATGTCTTGTATATCACCAGCGTGTGATTGATGTCTTGTATATCACCAGCGTGTGATCGATGTCTTCAAGATGGACGTGGAGGGATCTGAATGGACAGTGATTGACAACATGCTGGAGACAGATGTCTTCAAGTTCATACGGCAGTTTGATTTAGAATATCACCTCTTTCATGACTACCCTCCTCCCGAGGAGTACGTTCACTTTTATCAGGTTGGTTTGTATTTAGCTGCTGTATGATGTTTGTGTTCTTTTTTTGAAAACGGGTCCCCTGCCTACAGGAGAAGTCACACTAAAAATACGAGGTCTATTCCAAAATCAATCTCCGATTGGCTGGTTAAAAAAACTAATAAACTCTAACGACACCGTTCATTGATTGCATCATTCAGTAGTGGTCATTTCAATGCGAAAGATGTGGAAACATTTCTTTCAAAACACAAGGAGAGGAGCCAGAGACCGCACTTGAGAAACGATTGACCTAATTTGTATTAATTGTGGCTGTATCACCAGGACAGAAGGTCGCCCAACTAATGACCACAGTGTTATTAACCTGGCTCTTGTTTCTTCTCCACTCATGTCCGTGTGTCGATAGGGTATCCTAGGGTACCATGGCAGCTACCACCACGCCCTCAGCATATTGAAGGAGAAAAGAGGATGTGGCAAGCAAAGTCAAAGGTCAAAACTTGTAATTATGACACTAAAGGACAGGATGTGGTGTGTAAATTAGGGCGAGACAAGCGCATACATCAAAGAAGAAAAGCTACGATCAGCCTACTTGGTGGAATGGTGACGTGGAAAAGCCTAGAGGGATAAGCGTTGTGCTGTTAAGGAATGACAAAATGCCATAAGAAAGTTGCCCAGCCTTCTCATATCCTGCATCTGAAAATAGACATGGACACAAAAGCTGGTTGCTTCAAAAAGCTGGTTACGGTTGTTAAAGTTGAGCCGTGGGCAAAGCTGTGTCACAGAATAGGCAATGATAAGTCACTGAAATTGTTTTTGCGACCATATACAAGTATGAACGGTGCTGTCAAAAACAAGAGCTTTCCTAACTTTCAGAGTGCTGACCTCACCTGGCAGAGGACTGATAAAAATAAAGGCAAGGCCCTATTAGAGCACCCTTTACAGCAGACCAGCCAGACATACTTGAGAGATTTTGCCAAGATGGTAACAAGAGATAGGTGTAAGTCCTAAAAAACTCCTGAAGAAAATATAGTGACAGTTGATCAGATCAAGGCTGTTCGGCTATCCTCCGAATGACGGGCACAAAATATGGCGGCCAATAGCGGCCAAAAACAGGGCCTCAGTCACGTGTCAATGGCGCACTTCCGGCGACCAAATTTGCGGTTTTCCGGGGACTGCCGCCACCGCTGAGAGTATCCCCACGCCGCTCACGCGGTGTGGATTGAAGCTAAACTAGATGGCTAGGACTCACGAGCAAAGCAGGAGTTGTAGAAGCTGCTGCTCGTGAGTCCCAGCCACCTAGTTTAGCCATAATCCACGCCGCGTGAGCGGTGTGTGGGATACCCTCGGCGGTGGCGGCAGTCTCCGGAAAACCGCAAATTAAGTTACACAGCTCTGTGATGTTACACAGCTATGTGATGTTACACAGCTATGTGATACCTCTGTCAACGCCTGGTAAAGACCACTCACAAATTCTAGGGTACGGGATAATCGCCATACAGAATATTCTAGAAAAGCTGTTGAAAAAGATAACTTCCAGAAAAAAAATGGGGCCACTTGAAAGACAATGCAATCTTCCTTCTACTCTTGGAGTGTACCGTCCAGACAGAGAAACCTGGACGATTGCAGCAGTGTTTGCCCACGAAGTGTGTGGGAGTTTCGGTGTGGGCATTGAAACGTGTGCTGCCGCTATTGATCTCGAGGATGCGTACAACAGAGTACCGTTAGACTAGGTAATGTTTCAACTTCTTGAACTAAAAATAAGTACATTCCTTCTCATTTGGATCTCTGCAGCCATTTTTCTTCGGAAATTAGTTGTATATATGGCAGTTGGACATCCGAACGTACAACTATACAGCCCGGCCTGCCACAGTGATCACCATTGTCTCACGTGCTGTTGAACGTTTGCACAGCGAGAAGCACAGGTGAGCAGATCACAGAGCAAGTGGAGACTGTCGTACGCTGATGACACGTTAGTGTGTCGTCACGGCAACGTCAGAGAGCTTGTTGCTAGAAAATTACAGTCAGAACTCAAACGCATAAGCAATTCGTGTGGTAGAAGTTTGTGAATTGGTTAATCCAAAGAAGGCAGCAGTGATGTGGTTCTCTCTGGATAACCATATTGTCAACAAACTAACGCCAACGCTCAGATATGGTGGAAAAAAAGACAAGCAATGAAGTACCTGGAGATACGTTTTGATTGAAGTCTTGCTTATGATGAGCACATAGACCAAGTGATAATAAAAGCCAAACGGGGCTTGGCTGCAATGAGAGCGATGGATACAGCAAACTGTGAGCAGCGTCCTTTATGTCTTTGAGGCAGGCTCTGGTCCTTTCTGTCTTTGAGGCAGGGTCTGGTCCTTTCTGTCTTTGAGGCAGGCTCTGGTCCTTTCTGTCTTTGAGGCAGGCTCTGGTCCTTTCTGTCTTTGAGGCAGGCTCTGGTCCTTTCTGTCTTTGAGGCAGGCTCTGGTCCTTTCTGTCTTTGAGGCAGGCTCTGGTCCTTTATGTCTTTGAGGCAGGGTCTGGTCCTTTATGTCTGAGTATGCGACTGCGGTCCTGAATCTCGGCCACAAGCAGAGGGAGAGGATGGAAAGGATACAGAACTAGGCTATGCGCAATATACATGGATGTAAAAGAGATACAGCTTGCAGGCCGATGAGCTACCTTCTCGATTCAAATGTGCCGAGCAGGTGATTACCTCAGACATGCAGACAAACGACACCCGCTGCATGGTGAAATTGTGAATAGTAAAGGCAGCAGGTTAGAAAGAGGAAAATATGGATGGCTCAGGGGAGGACATTATTCAGCAGTTGTACGTCCGCCCACGTATCTGAAAGTCGTAGGTTCGAGTCATAACGGAGCCGGATGTTCTTTCTCAAAAAATGACATTGATTCCCAGTCAACCCAACCTTGAGTGGGTACGAGGTGCAGTTCTGGGTAGTAAAGGTGGCTGGTGTGATCATAACCACATCACCCCTAAAGTGCCGATTGGTCTATAAAAATATAGGCCTAGTCCTGTATTTCCAATACGCCTGAATGCGTTGAAGAAGGGCCTTTACTTTACTTGTAGTCCGGTTGTGAATGGAACACAGCTTGCGAACCTCTGATTTAATGAAGCAAGTTGACCAGGAAGAATCTGAGACACTGGATTGTTGTGTGCTGACGAGGGCGCAACAAACACTCGAGAAATCATGCCAGCCAAAAAGTAGTTACAGTCAGTCTCAGATAAAAACCCTAATATGTCGCTGCCATAGATGTCAACCGTCTGATGAACTTCAACTAAAAAAAGACGAGTTATTCTGCTGTCCCATCCCCCCCCCCCCACACCCTCTTGTCCCCAACTAAGCAGTTCCCAGACAGCCTGTTTAACCTTTACAGAAATTATCATTAGGACAGTTGTGAGGTTTACACCAGCCAGGTGTCACATGCAGTCCTGTGTGGGTTAGCCAGAGCGTTGGAACCAATTCGATTAACGTCATACCACCACCACCATCATCACTACCACCACCACCATTACCACCACCACCACCACCACCACTACCACCACCACTACCACTACCACCACCACCACTATCACCACCACTACCACCACCACTACCACCACCACTACCACCACTACCACCACCACTACCACTACCACCACCACCACTACCACCACTACCACCACCACTACCACCACCACCACTACCACCACTACCACCACCACACCACCACTACTACTACTACCACCACCACCACTGCCACCACTACTACCACCACCACCACCACTACCACCACCACTACCACTACCACCACCACTACCACCACTATCACCACTACCACCACCACACTTACAAAATGTGTAATGAAACGAAGTGATTTCCACAGGAACACTAACATTAATCTTCCCACCCCCCGCCTATATATACACTAGGTCACTTCTGATTGGTAGTTCCTGAGCCTCGTAACCTTTGCACAATGTCAGAGGAGTGTTCCAAGATACCGTTGATTTCGTGTGTCGTATATTTTAGCCCGCCAGTGCTTTTAACGCTACTTGCCCTAACACAACCCCAGCCCCCCACCCCACCCCCGCCTCTTCGCCATAGAGAGTGCTGCAACCTATGTCATCGGCATTCTTTTTCTCGGAATAAAAACGTAAATGCAAGACAACACAGAAAGCAAACAACAGTTATTATTTATACTGTCATCATCATGCACTGAAGCAACGTTTATGTCCCCAGTAAATCAGGTCATCGGGCGTGTTGGGCATACAAAGCTTGACCTATATATTTATGACAAATTGGCACTCAGTGGTTGATGTAAACAGCACGCCAGCCGCCTTTACTTCCCATTACCTGGCACCGATTTTAGGCTGGGTCGACCCCAGTTTTGTCACTACAAGCACTCAGAAAATTGATTTATATTTGTTCAAAAAACACTATCGGCGTCCGTGGCTTATGCGTTGCGAGTCCGACTCGTTATTCCAACGTACCGCAATCGATACCCACTGCTGGCTGCGTGGATTTTTATCATGGTCTGAGGCGTCACAGGTCGACCCAGCATAAAATGGGTACAAGAATGGCTGTCCTTGGGAAGTAAAGACGGCCGGTGTAATGCTAACCAAATAACCCTTCCAGTGCCAATTGGTCAGTAAAAATTTGGGACGTTTTTCCCATATACCTGATGCGTCTAAGGCGTGAAAAGGGACAAAAACGAACGGGAAAAAGTTACACTAGCCTAAATGCGTTTGTGTGAGTGTGCATATGTGTATGTGTGAAAATACCATACATGAGAATCAATGCTATGTTCTAACGCTGAAACTTGCTCTCGTCCACCAGGTCTTCACCGGACTGAGAGAAATCGGCTTCAGGGAGTATTTTAGCTCTCAGTACAAGCGAGAAACTAAGCGAGGCAGTTTCAGATACCAGACTGATATGGCTTACGTGAACGCGTTGTTCGACAGAACATCTAAAAGTACGGACCAATCCTCCACACACTAACTCTGCCTATGTCTACAAATGTTAGGCTTGTGAAAATAATGCAAATATTTACGCACTCCCCCACCCCCACCCCTTTTTTTTTGGCTCAAACATTTTTTTTAAGTTTTAGTCTCCACACAATAACTCTACATATGTCTACAGATGTTAGTCTCCACACACTAACTCTCCGTATGTCTACAGATGTTACTCTCCACACACTAACTCTCCGTATGTCTACAGATGTTAGTCTCCACACACTAACTCTACGTATGTCTACAGATGTTAGTCTTCACACACTAACTCTAGGTATGTCTACATATGTTAGTCTTCACACACTAACTCTACGTATGTCTACAGATGTTACTCTTCACACACTAACTCTAGGTATGTCTACAGATGTTAGTCTCCACACACTAACTCTACGTATGTCTACATATGTTAGTCTTCACACACTAACTCTACGTATGTCTACAGATGTTAGTCTTCACACACTAACTCTACGTATGTCTACAGATGTTAGTCTCCACACACTAACTCTACGTATGTCTACAGATGTTAGTCTTCACACACTAACTCTACGTATGTCTACAGATGTTAGTCTTCACACACTAACTCTACATATGTCTACAGATGTTAGTCTTCACACACTAACTCTACGTATGTCTACAGATGTTAGTCTTCACACACTAACTCTACGTATGTCTACATATGTTAGTCTTCACACACTAACTCTATGTATGTCTACAGATGTTAGTCTTCACACACTTACTCTACGTATGTCTACAGATGTTAGTCTTCACACACTAACTCTAGGTATGTCTACAGATGTTACTCTTCACACACTAACTCTACGTATGTCTACAGATGTTAGTCTTCACACACTTACTCTACGTATGTCTACAGATGTTAGTCTTCACACACTAACTCTAGGTATGTCTACAGATGTTACTCTTCACACACTAACTCTACGTATGTCTACAGATGTTAGTCTCCACACACTAACTCTACGTATGTCTACAGATGTTAGTCTCCACACACTAACTCTACGTATGACTACAGATGTTAGTCTTCACACACTAACTCTACGTATGACTACAGATGTTAGTCTTCACACACTAACTCTACGTATGTCTACAGATGTTAGTCTCCACACACTAACACTACGTATGTCTACAGATGTTACTCTTCACACACTAACTCTATGTATGTCTACATATGTTAGTCTTCACACACTAACTCTACGTATGACTACAGATGTTAGTCTTCACACACTAACTCTACGTATGTCTACAGATGTTAGTCTCCACACACTAACTCTACGTATGTCTACAGATGTTACTCTTCACACACTAACTCTAGGTATGTCTACAGATGTTAGTCTTCACACACTAACTTTAAGTATATCTACAGATGTTAGTCTCCACAGACTAACTCTATGTATGTCTACAGATGTTAGTCTCCACACACAAACTCTACGTATGTCTACAGATGTTAGTCTCCACACACTAACTCTACGTATGTCTACAGATGTTAGTCTCCACACACTAACACTACGTATGTCTACAGATGTTAGTCTCCACACACTAACTCTACGTATGTCTACAGATGTTAGTCTCCACACGCTAACTCTACGTATGTCTACAGATGTTAGTCTCCACACACTAACTCTACGTATTTCTACAGATGTTAGTCTCCACACGCTAACTCTACGTATGTCTACAGATGTTAGTCTCCACACACTAACTCTACGTATGTCTACAGATGTTACTCTCCACCACTAACTCTACGTATGTCTACAGATGTTAGTCTCCACACACTAACTCTACGTATGTCTACAGATGTTAGTCTTTTAAAAAATAATGCAAACATCCACGCACTAAGTTTCACATATTTTTTCACAACGGTCCAGTTCTCCAGACATGCATGTTATAACTCACAAACATGTTCAACATTCCAGTTCTCCAGACATACATGTTATAACTCACAAACATGTACAACATTCCAGTTCTCCAGACATGCATGTTATAACTCACAAACATGTACAACATTCCAGTTCTCCAGACATGCATGTTATAACTCACAAACATGTACACATTCCAGTTCTCCAGACATGCATGTTATAACTCACAAACATGTACAACATTCCAGTTCTCCAGACATGCATGTTATAACTCACAAACTTGTACAACATTCCAGTTCTCCAGACATGCATGTTATAACTCACAAACATGTACAACATTAAAGTTCTCCAGACATGCATGTTATAACTCACAAACTTGTACAACATTCCAGTTCTCCAGACATGCATGTTATAACTCACAAACATGTACAACATTCCAGTTCTCCAGACATGCATGTTATAACTCACAAACATGTACAACATTCCAGTTCTCCAGACACACATGTTATAACTCACAAACATGTACACCGTTTCAGTTCTCCACTCATACATGTTATAACTCACACAACTTTACAAAAGTCCAACTATCCACACACATTAACTGTACAGATAGTTTTAACGCACACAGTAGTCCTTTTATCCACACACACAGACGCTAACTGTACGTGTTATGTTATTGCTCACACAACTCCACAGTAGCCCAGTTCTCCACACACACAGACGCTAACTGTACGTGTTATGTTATTACTCACACAACTCCACAACAGTTCAGGTCTCTATACTCACAATATGTACATATTATGTACATAATATTTAACTATCTGTACATATTATTATCATCATCAGCTAGTGCCTTATTTCATGATGTGTTTCTAATCGGCTTGTGTGAGTTCATAGGCTGCGTTTCTTCTACCTGAACTGACATCCTTGCATTCACACTATCAGGATGGCGAACATCAGATGTCATCAGCAAAGTGGTTTCTCAGACATATCAAGTATCATAGACCGAGAGAAAATTGAGATGTGACAGTTCTCAGACATACTGAGTATCATAGACCGAGAGAAAATTGAGATGTGACAGTTCTCAGATATACTGAGTATCATAGACCGAGAGAAAAATGAGATGTGACAGTTCTCAGATATACTGAGTATCATAGACCGAGAGAAAAATGAGATGTGACAGTTCTCAGATATACTATCATAGACCGAGAGAAAATTGAGATGTGACAGTTCTCAGATATACTGAGTATCATAGACCGAGAGAAAAATAAGATGTGACAGTTCTCAGATATACTGAGTATCATAGACCGAGAGAAAATTGAGATGTGACAGTTCTCAGACATACTGAGTATCATAGACCGAGGGAAAATTGAGATGTGACAGTTCTCAGACATACTGAGTATCATAGACCGAGGGAAAATTGAGATGTGACAGTTCTCAGATATACTGAGTATCATAGACCGAGAGAAAATTGAGATGTGACAGTTCTCAGACATACTGAGTATCATAGACCGAGGGAAAATTGAGATGTGACAGTTCTCAGATATACTGAGTATCATAGACCGAGAGAAAATTGACATGTGATAGTTCTCAGATATATAGAGTATCATAGACGGAGAGAAAATTGAGATGTGACAGTTCTCAGATATACTGAGTATCATAGACCGAGAGAAAATTGAGATGTGATAGTTCTCAGATATATAGAGTATCATAGACCGAGAGAAAATTGAGATGTTATAGTTCTCAGACATACTGAGTATCATAGACCGAAAGAAAATTGAGATGTGACAGTTCTCAGATACAAAGAGTTTCGTAGGCCGTGGGAAAATTGAGATGTGACAGTTCTCAGACATACTGAGTATCATAGACCGAAAGAAAATTGAGATGTGACAGTTCTCAGACATACTGAGTATCATAGACCGAAAGAAAATTGAGATGTGACAGTTCTCAGACATACTGAGTATCATAGACCGAGAGAAAATTGAGATGTGACAGTTCTCAGACATATAGAGTATCATAGACCGAGAGAAAATTGAGATGTGACAGTTCTCAGACATACTGAGTATCATAGACCGAAAGAAAATTGAGATGTGACAGTTCTCAGATACAAAGAGTTTCGTAGACCGAGAGAAAATTGAGATGTGACAGTTCTCAGACATACTGAGTATCATAGACCGAAAGAAAATTGAGATGTGACAGTTCTCAGACATACTGAGTATCATAGACCGAAAGAAAATTGAGATGTGACAGTTCTCAGACATACTGAGTATCATAGACCGAGAGAAAATTGAGATGTGACAGTTCTCAGACATACTGAGTATCATAGACCGAAAGAAAATTGAGATGTGACAGTTCTCAGATATTTAGAGTATCGTAGACCGAGAGAAAATTGAGATGTGACAGTTCTCAGATATATAGAGTATCGTAGACCGAGAGAAAATTGAGATGTGACAGTTCTTAGATAAACAGAGGGAAAATCATAAACTGTATGGAGATATTACACTTATATAATGTTGTTGTTGTTGTTGTTGTTTTTGTTGTTGTTTGAATGCGTCTGATGGTATATTATGAGAGGAAATAAATTTAAAACAAACACATGTTTTATTTTGGTTTCGTTTGAATGGTTTCCAAAGTTTTGTAGGAAGAGCAATGCATTTTTGTGCCTCAAACTTTGTATTTGGTGATCATGATCAAAATGTAATGACTGAGAGATGTCAGACATGTGGGAGTAATTCAAATACTGCCCACTGCACTTACACACTCAAGCGAGTGACTTCCGGTGTAAACAGCCACAATGGCGGCACGCTTTTTCGTCAGTTGAGGCGAATGGCACAAATTAACTATTTTCGCTCACGTATAATGTGAAAGTTTCATCGGAATGGGGTCTGAACCGTGCAATGGAGTACATGCACGTGAGTTCAGACTTCCCTCAGGGTGTATTCAACGTCCGATGGCGACTATTTACAAATTCAAAACAACCCGTAGACGTATAAGGAGAACGCGAACAGGCAAGCACGGTGGCGCCTGCAGGAAGCGACTGAAATGTGAGAGACTCAGTTTAAAGTATGTTCGTGTTCTCTACTGGAACTGCGCTTCGTTTAGTCAACGCCGACCCATTTTT